ATGTATATCGTAAAGGATGACTGCAGCATTCTGTGGTATGTTTTAGACTGTTCATAAGTTAGTGCGATGAAAACTTGGAATAAAAGACTTTTGGGACACTTGTACGAAAAGATCTGGCTGCTTGCCTTAAGTAACGATGTTCATGTTCGAAACTGAACACTCCTCCTGGGGGAAACAACATTTGGAAACCTCAGAATTCACTAAAACCTGGTTTACAGGAGTTATTCAACATGCTGATTACAATATGTTACTCAGCGTGCCCGTTAGGGCCTTCACAAGAAGCCTACAGTGGAGGTTGTATCCTGTGTTCGTGTCATACCTCTTGCTTGATCTTATTAGAGACCAACTTTGGGCCTAAATCAAGTTTTTAAGAAGTTACAAGGACGTTATCACCAGCTTGCAGGGCTCGGCGCTGACACCGGGTCAAGCTGGATATGGTTTTTAGGGCGAGAGCAAAGGGGATATCGTCTTTCCGCGATCCGGGGCGCATGCTGTCCATCAAACAAACAAAGGCGTTGTTTTCAGCCACAACGCAATAGTATGACACCAAATTTGGTGTGTGCATGCGCGTTGGGGGACCCGCACCATGGTTGCGATAGGGGGAGTGATAGATCTTACCCCCTTCACTTTGAGGCCAAACTCCCGATGACCCCCTTCACCTGGGCTGAGATTGGTATTGTACTCAGAGAATATGATAAAAATCGTTATTAAAAGGTTTTGCAGGCTAAGTACCTCAAGCAACAAGTACACTCATAAATTTACAAAAGAAACGGTATTTATGTTTATTTATATTATTTGTTTATCCTCGTAGCATTTTGGAGAGCAGAAAGTGAGGACACAAAATCAGTTAATTTCTGAAGCACATAAAATCCCTCATATTTCGCAGCACAGAAGACCTAGAAAAAAATCGACGGTCTACGTCGATTCTCCATGATCTCAGCTTTCGAATGGTATACAGCATGTTAGGGCTTCTTTGCTTCCCGGCTCTAAAAATCATTTGCTCCGGTAACCGATAAAAGCCAATACATTGGTGGAGCTGGATGGAGCAAGCTAATAAATATCTCCACCCCATTTTTGAAAACTGGTTAGTTTTTTCGCCCAGCAACCTATATACAGTCGATTCATTTCATATGATCATGTGTGTCATTGCACACACAGTCCACCTTTGGCATTCCCATCCTGGATTCTGGAAGAAAACATCTCTTCGGGGACGCGTTTTCAACGTGTTTATTCATATTTCTTTGCTTTTTAGGTACTAATCACCTCAAATTCATGTAATCGATAATAGTCTCTAAGTTTCTTGCGTTTCTGTAATCAATCCAGGATGAGGGCGCCAAAGGTGGACTGTGTGTGCAATGACACACATGATCATATGAAATGAATCGACTGTACCATTCGAAAGCTCAGGAAAAGGGGATTCGACCTAGACCGTGACTTCTTTCTAGCCCCCCTCTACCGAGAGATACACCGCATTTTATCTGAAAACATGGTCGTTTCTGACAGCAGATTTCTGCCAAATGAAGGCCTAATTACTGCTGATTATCTATCTGTGTTAAAGAGCAAGTCTTCGTTAACAAACGTAGACCATCGACTTTCTCGTAGCATTCATTTGGAGAGCAGAAAGTGAGGACACAAAATCAGTTAATTTTTGAAGCACATAAAATCCCTCATATCCCGCAACACAGAAGACCTAGAAAAAAGTCGACGGTCTATGTCGATTGTCCATGATCTCAGCTTTCGATTGGTATACAGCAGGTTAGCGCTTCTTTGCTTCCCGGCTCTAAAAACCATTTGCTTCGGTGACCCATAAAGCCAACACATTGTATAGGTCGTCCCGAAAGTTTTTGCGCACGATTTTCAAAAATTCATAACTTCTGATTTTTCCAACCGATTTGACTGCTTTCACTTTTGTGAAAGGGTAAGTCATGCTCTTTATAATGACATCTCAGCTGCTTAGTAATGGTCATTTGTTGCATAGATAGAAGCTCAAAACCAAAATCACTCAAAATTTGACTTTTTGTGTAGGGTCATAAAAAATTAGAAACTTGCAACAAAAATCGGAGCAGTCGGTATTGTAGGTTCTTTCACCAGCTCTTTCTAACAGTGCAAAGTTTGCTCCGATTGAGCGTCTCCATAAAAAGTTATGATTTTCGAGCAAGCAATAAAAAGGCGAGTTTGATTTATTTTGGCATTTTTCAGGGAAATCATAACTTTTCATGGAGACGCTCAATCAGCGCAAACTTTGCACTCTTAGAAAGAGCTGGTGAAAAAACCTACTGTACCGACTACTCCGATTTTTGTTGCAAGTCTCCGATTTTTTATGACCCTACACAGAAAATAAAAATTTTTACCATTTTTCTTCTATCGCTCCTATCTATGCAACAGATGATCATTGCTGAGCAGCTGAGATGTCATTATAAAGAGCATGACTTACCCTTCACAAGAAAATGAAAGCAGTCAAATCGGTTGGAAAAATCAGAATTTTTGAATTTTTGAAAATCGTGCGAAAAAATTTCGGGGCGACCTGATAAGAGCGAGGTGGAGCAAGTTAATAGTAAAAAAAAGTGCTGTGGATTGACATCGTTATCAGCACTAGCGGGAACGTGAGCGAACGCGTCTGTTTGAGCGTGCTTATCGTTGTTATATGTTTATGTTTTTTTGGTAAGAAATGCGCTCTTAATTGACAGTTATGCCATCATTATTAGCACACACTCAAAAACTATGAGAGATTGGTGAATTTCCACACCTTCACACAAAACCCGCCCATTTCTGGAATCTATACTCTGTAAACCTAGTGCTGAAGAAGGTCACTTCCGTGAAAACGCTCTAGACTTACCTTGAGAATAGTTGGTTTAAATGAATCAAAAACTCTAAGACATTCACAAGAATAACATGTTATTAGAAAACCCTCAGTGTTTTGGAAAGGTTGGCAGTTTGAAGAGGAAACGGCAGGCAGAATACTTTACAAAATCGCAGATGACTCGCATGTGTTTCAGTTCAACAGCGAGGCAGAAGGTGAATCTTACGCCGACGAAAATGTTGTCGACATTGATACAGAGTTGGCAATTAAGCGAAACTCTCTGATTTTCTGCATAAGGCATCTAAGCAGATTGTCTAGTTTCAATGAGGAAATGTCGAAGTCCATTGCTGATCTTCAGGTTGTTGAAGAATTCAAGGCTGCTAAATTCACAAACATGGATATGAACAAAAGGAAGGCGTTAGTACAGAGCATAGTTACTGCACTTAGATCCCTTTCTGAAGTGCGAGCTCAACTCTGTGCTTTATGCTTTGAAAGTTATTCGCCTTGTGACATTATGACCTATGATATTGAAAAAAAATCAACGCGCAGAATAGTACCTCCTTTTTTCGGCTATTCCGCAGATGCTGTTAAAGAAGAAGTGTTGAGCAGCTTTCTAATCAGCTAACAGGACGTATGAGAGAGGAGGTGAAGCCAGAGTTCGACAAGGCCAAAAAGTATTCACTATTTCCTTCCCGTGTTGCGAAAGCATATGTGATCTGGCTCTTTTCCCATTACTTACAGCAAAAATCTGATGGACTTACTAGCAAAGCTAGTTTCCATTCCGACTAGCACCGCAGAGGTGGAGAAAGAAATTTTCTATCTACTCTGTTATCAGAACACAACGCAGAAGTCGTACAGCGATAGAGCAACTAAGCAAGTACTTAAGACTTGTCAATCTTCAACTAAACATATTGTTATCCAACTTTATTTAAAGGATTGGTATAAGTGGTCCAGACAGGCTGTTACCGTACGACTTTTGAAATAATCTAAAAAATGGTATGAAAAAACTACCTGCTGATTTCCTGGTGCTACCAGAGGGCCAGGAAAAAAATCACAAAAGCGCTTAAAAGAAGAAGAAAGTTTCAAATCTATTTTCGACTCAGAACGCTTTTGCACGCAATTCTACTTCTATTCCAATGACCTTTTGGAAGAAGAAGAAGATTTTTCAGGCAGCGAACTTGTCGTCTCTGACGTTAGCGATAGTGATATTGTTGATGATGATGTGCAAGAAATGAGATTGTACCTAACTTGTACATCTTTTGGGATAAACCTTATTGCTTTCGTTTTTTGTTGATGCAGTGAAACAGGAGCACAGATCTTCATAGTCAATTTTTTTAAAAATTTTTTAATTTTTTTTGAAAATTTTTAAATATTTTTCAATTTGTGCCTAAATAAGGTACAAATTAGAGCTCTTCATACCACGCTTTTTCACCTTTTCTCTCTTCCTCCCCCCCCCCTAGACTCACATACCCCCTTCACCCTGGAAGGTCGGGAACAGCCGAGACCCCCTTCACCTGGGGAGAGCCCGGCTCCCCCTATCGCACCTATGACCCGCACTATAGCCCAAGAATTTATGAAAACTTATGCGAATGAAAGCTGTGCTGAACCTTTTTCTAAATTAGCTGGCAAGCTGGCACCGACACTTTGCTTACATAAGTTTTCATACTTTTTCACATAAAACGTATCTACACCGTAAAAGTTTACATACAGAGAAAAAACAATTTCATAATGTTTTCTTTTCAACGTTCTATAGCCATCTAAAAATTACTCGGTCTGCTCCGCAGTCGAAAAATCGGCTTTTTCTGCTTCTCGACATGTCATTCAACCAAACAAAAAGCTCAGAAAGCTGTGAAAAGTTGTTCCATGAAGCCAGCATGCATGAAAACCCTACTACAAGTTTTTACATAATCTAAAAACAATGACGGGTCTTCAAAACAGGTCAAAGGCGACTTCGTACGAAATTTTTGCGATCAAACGAGACTTCGTTCTGAAAATTCCCTGGTGCCAGCTCGTGCCGAGCCCTGCCAACTTGTCAGCTGTGTTTTGGAAATTGACAGAAAAGCACTAGAGTTAATGCTTAGAAAACGGAAAAACTGTTTGCGTAGGTGCATTACCCATAAAGATTACGACCACGGAAATTCCAGTAAATGTACTATTACTATTAATTTAAATACTTCAAGGCGTTTTCTTGCTTTTTCAGGTATCCGCAGATTTCTTGCGTTTGAACGGAAGCAGGCAACAGTTTCGAAATCTGTTATCGACAAGAAAGAAATTGGGCTCATTGCCGCCTGCTTACACTAGAATCGATTACAGCAGAGATTCCCTCGATTCAAATGGCAGTTGCAGTAAGATTCCCTTAGAGTTTTATAAATTCCTTTCTTACAGTAGCGCGGGCTCCTCATCACGGACCCGTAATTACGGTTGAGGATACCGGCTCTCAGCTCCGAATCAACAAAGTGAAGTCAAGCATCACGGATAGCCTTGTGGATGCGCATAAAACTTCCCTAGAAAACGGTGAGTTAGGCTAGTTAGGTAGCAGGCAGCCTTGTCGTCTTCTACATGGAGTGTGAATGTACTAAATGTTACCCAACCACAGTTGCTTTTTGCGAAAGCAATGGAAGTGTCGGTACTCACCAAACAGCAAACCATTTCAAGCGAAACAATAGCAGGTATGCGAAACGGCGGTAAAAAACGTATATTTTCAAGTACTTTTCACCAGATATGGAGTCCCCGTTGACAGTTCAGCTGTCAAACTCGTATATCGTGTTCGCTCTGAAAGGCTTAGCAACCGGTATGATTTCAGGAACGGTTTGTCTAGTAAACACGACCAATTTTAGGGTGAAAATAACCGACCGCGCTTTGGTTCTGGCAATGTTGGGAGTTCTAGTGATGGTGATTGACGCAGAGATAACTGGACAAACCCTCTTTGGAATAACAAAGGTTTATTTGCGAATCTATCATCCTATCTTGCTATGAATCGCAATCTTCGTATCTTGAGCTATTTTTCATAGAAAGTATGAACGTCATGTCATGTGAAGCAATGATTTGCGATGATGTATAAGAAAATAAGCCGTTTAGAAAAACTCGGTAATCTTTTCAGCATCACCCTGTGTCACTCTTGCTTCGGTCATTTGTGGCACTCTCGACAATTGCCCTACTTACACAGATCGTCCTTTATCATATCAATAATGTTGTGGTTAGTATATTTTCTTTGAACTTATCAGTATGTCACAAAACCTTCTAAGCTTGACCTCGTCGATTGCGGAGCCGACGATTGGCGGGTTGTCGTGACGTCAAATCGAGCCCTAGAATTTTGCACAGAATTTATTTTGTGCGCTATATGTCCTCTGCCTGGTCGGTACATCGTTTTTGAACACCATGATAATTTATGACGCTCATAGATCCAGGTACCGGTTCACTTCATTGGTCGTTCATAGAAACAAATCGGAATATGCAAACTTCTCAAGGCAGATCTTTTCATACCAGGGAGGTAAGCGAGAGAAGTTGCATACATATCTATTACAAATCTGACTAAATCTCGAAAAATGGCGTTTATCGCGATAAGGCTATCAGGGAAAGCGATAACAAAGTTTACATATTTACTGTGAGAGAAAGAGAACATCAAGCCAAATGCTGTAAGAAGTTTGATGCGAGATGCAAATGCTCATTGTTTGCACAAAGTCTAAGGTACGACACTGTAAAACTGTTTTTGAATCGAGATCCCGTTTTCAAAAATCTTTGGACCGTTGGCGAGTGAAGCGCATTGGTTCGTTGGTATAGCCGCACTGTCATGACCATCCTTAACTTAAGTCTATCGAATTCTGGTTTGGATATCTGGATTCGGCTTCTCCTGAACTACAGCGGTTTTGGAAGCTTCGAAATCTTGCTTTCAAGCTTTTTTGGCCGCATGCCAGGGGCGATCAAAACCCAACGTCGCGCTGGATGTGCCGCATTACTGTAACTTGGGTCAAAGTACTTCGACTGAAATTTTAATTGGATATTTGTGAAAAGGGTCTTTCTACAACTTACGAGGTTGCTCAAACTTTGCAGAATCTTTTGTTTTCTTACTTTTTTGATCTGATATAGACGGCGAAGTAAACGCCATTTCGCGTCGGAAAAGTCGGAGATTAGTATGACTTTCTCCATGCTTTATCTATCAGATTTTAATGTTGATGTTTGAAACAAGCGAGTTCCAAACTGAGTATGTGCTCAAAGTCAGCAAAATCCCAGTTTTTCCCAGATTCTTGATCTCTCACAGCGCCCTAGCTAACCAGGGTCTGATTATAGCTGCAGTAACCTCACTGTATGGACTTTTGATCAATATCTTATCAATGACATATGAGAGTGAAGTTGAATCAGAAAATTTCTAGTCGTTTCTCAGAATTTCGAAATCACGTTCGCTTTTTGTGATTCTCCAGTTTTGAAAAATCCAGTTCAAGGCAATTTTGCGAAATGTCAAAAAGGTTTTTTTCATGAGTACAATCAGCATTTAGTTGCTTTGTCAATGATCTCCTTATATCAACTATAAGGCAAGTTGATTTGGATATACGAGAATGGATCGTTCGCAAACACAAAGCACTAAATTCAATGGCTTATGCTGTTAAATTTACGCGGCTAAGGTCAAATAAGTTGTCATTCGTAGAATCCAGTGTCACTTCTGACGAAATAAGTCAAAACCAGTCTATTGTGTCAAAACCTGTAGACTACTTGCGCTTAAAATGAGGCACGCTTTCTCCATTGACAATGTGGTGCATCTTTGTCAAGACCTTAAAATAAACGGTCAGCCAGGAATAGGGGTGAAATTTTCTCCCCATCTAGAACTGTGTCAACTGTTTGAAATTCTCATCTTTGAACTTGTCATTTGGAAAAAAGAACTGTAACCTTAAAATCAACGGGATCGGCGGCTGGAAGGCGGTCGCTCGCGTCCGCGACGCGACGTCTCTCTCGCGAGCGTGCTCTTTAACCATTCTCTAGCCTCCCGCCTTCCAGCTGCCAGTCCAGTTGAATCAAAGAGTACGGTGACTGGTGAAAAGCACAAAAAGAACGTGATTTTTGCAAATTTCGATCAATTCTAATGCCATCCAAAGCCTCGTAATTCACATATCCGAAAATGATGAGAAAAATGCTGTTTGAAAATATGTAATGCTTATTTGGCGTTACCAAAATATGTCGCATTTTACCTCTTTCTTTAGTATGCCTACCAAGCTTGATTGGGTGCACTCGCACCCATCCGAGCACAGGCCTTAAACCGAGGCCTGATGGTCGCCGATACTAACCGAGGACCTATGTCACTACGCACCTAACGCGCAACCGAAATAACAATAGATAAATCAAGTTATTTGTCCTTATGACAACACACTACTGGTAAAATAAACAAAATACCAAACTAAAACAGATCACGACTACTACTAGTAACAATCACGGGACGAGGGCACATCCCATGCTACCGATGCGCGCCCATGAAAGTAACCCTGAATACATGTGGCTTTAGAGGGGTTGCGCAACAAATCCACCATGCAACGCCAAGGTTGTAGACGACGGCACGTTCCCTCCAGCTCCTGTAGATTTTAGAATTCCAACTTGACCACGATTTCCTATTAGCCTATTAAGGGGCGTCCATGATCCGCTAAATAGTAAATCACTCTTTCAATCCAAAAGTCGTCCGGCTCCTACTCTACAAAAAAGGACAGGAGCATAGCGGCTGAAACACAATTCGAACACAAAACTAAACCAATCGATAAAGACGAACAAGCGCTGAGCTGAGGCTTGGCCGCCTTACATATATAGCTGCCGAGCTAGCAACGAGCCAATAAAGGAGAGGTCCGGAGACGATCGCGGCAACACGCGCCTCGGCTTGCCTATTCGTCGCCCGATAGCGCGACCAATGCTTCTGGCCTCCGCGCTTTTAGAAGCGCCTTGCATAGCGAGACGCGACACGTGTCCGAAATCAAAGGATTGCCACGCGGCGGCTCAAGAGTAAACCAAATGACTCAAAGTAATCAGCTTGTAACTTTCTCAACAAACTCATGGAACAATTATGTATGAAAGTAAATCTTGCAGGAAGTTGATAGCATGCGATAGCATGCTTACCTCTAATGATTCATTTGCTATATCTAACAATAAGTTGAACCATGGAAAATTTTCTCAAATATCGACCTACTCTTTGCAGTTTTTGAACATGGGGGGTAACGTAGTCTAGCCTGCTCGAAACGCGAGTAGTTACGCGAGTACTTCATACGCCAACTATCTAGAATAATTATGGATCCTGAAGGCAGTGGCTCAGGAGAATTGCGAGCGCGAGCTTTTCGCACCTGCATGGCCTTCTGGAAGCGCTGAGCCCAGAGCCTGGCACGAGTTCGTTTCTAAGCTTTCTGAAAACGAAGTCCCCCCTGACTTTCTTAAACTTACGAAGTCCTCTTTGGCTCTTGCTCTATCCCCGCCCCCATCCTCCGGCTGTTGGTGGATCCCGCATACACACTTAGGGCCGCATGCACTAACCTCCTCGCTGGGGAGGGGATCGCAGCTTAAAAAAAAGCTTTATATTTCGAAACTCCAGATACCTGGATTTCACATTGTGTACCTATCCGTAAGTATTCCTACTACCCTTCACTATGAACATGTTGAACAGGAGCGAGAAGCTGTACGAACCGCATTTTTCAGCTTTTGTATGATCCCTGATGATCCCCGGCGCTTTTCTTGAAAGTCATTTTTCTTTCTCCGAAGTTAACGAAAACCTTCCAAAGTTGTACCGAACATTTAACACAACACTGCTAAGCATGTTGCTGATGAGAACAAATGAGTTTTTGAAAAGTCGAATTTTTCGGTAAACCTCAAATTTCGACCTGTGGACCATCGAAAATTTCATGACTTCAAAACATCATTTGCTCTTATCAGCAACATGCTTAGCACTGTCGGGTTAGACAATCTGCACAACTTTGGAGGTTTTTCGTTAACTTCGGAGAAAGAAAAATGACTTTAAAGAAAAGCGCCGGGGATCATCAGGGATCATACTAAAGCTGGAAAATGCGGTTCGCACAGCTTCTCGCTCCTCTTCAAGATGTTCATAGTGAAGGGTAGTAGGAATACTTACGGATAGGTATACGTTGTGAAATCCAGGTATCTGGAGTTTCGAAATATAAAGCTTTCTTTTAAGCTGCGATCCTCTCCCCGCGGGGATTTTAGTGCATCCGGGCCTTAGGGCCGCATGCACTAACATCCCCGCGGGGAGGGGATCGCAGCTTAAAACAAAGCTTTATATTTCAAAACTCCAGATACCTGGATTTCACTTTGTGTACCTATCCGTAAGTATTCCTATTACCCTTCACTATGAACATGTTGAACAGGAACGAAAAGCTGTACAAACCGTATTTTCCAGCTTTTGTTGATCCCTGATGATCCCCGGCGCTTTTCTTTAAAGTCATTTTTCTTTCTCCAAGTTAACGAAAAACCTCCAAAGTTGTGCAGATTGTCTAACACGACAGTGCTAAGCATGTTGCTGATAAGAGCAAATGATGTTTTGAAGTCATGAAATTTTCGATGGTCCACAGGTCGAAATTTGAGGTTTACTGAAAAACTCGACTTTCCAAAAATTCATTTGTTCTCATCAGCAACATGCTTAGCACTGCTGTGTTAGACGTTCAGTACAACTTTGGAAGGTTTTCGTTAACTTCGGAGAAAAAAAATGACTTTAAAGAAAAGCGCCGGGGATCATTAGGGATCATACAAAAGCTGGAAAATGCGGTTCGTACAGCTTCTCGCTCCTGTACAACATATTCATAGTGAAGGGTAGTAGGAATACTTACGGATAGGCACACAAAGTGAAATACAGATATCTGGAGCTACAGAATATGAAGCTTTCTTTTAAGCTGCAATCCCCTCCCCAGCGGGGAGGTTAGTGCATGCGACCCTTAGCATACATGTGAAAAGGGGATAATGTGTTCCTACCCCTTTCACCCCTGGGCCGGAACCCAGCTGACCTCCCTTTACCCACGGCCGATGAAGAACTGGAAGAAGTGAAACTAACAAAACAATAAAGGTTTTCGTCATTCTGGGGCCTTTCCGTGGCCCTGATTACAGTTCCGAACTTCAAACTCTCCAAAATTCACAAAAAGCCCGATTCCTGGGTACCCTGTCTTAGGGGCGCGGACGGGTTTCGAATCGCTGTCCTCGTCGGCATGCCAGCCGCGAGGAGTTGCAACTGCATGGGTGCAGTGGCAGCAGTGTGCAGCTCCTGCTCACTGCCATGTCAGTACTTTTCGAGAGGCAGGCCCTGGCTGGGCGCAGTCTGATATTAGACTCCGCCAAGCCAGGGACTTCCAGGCCCCTTATCTCCATTCAGTGACAACGTTAGAAGATCGGACCAATGCAGAAGTCCTTTTCTGGGGCCTGTATTCAGGATCGACACTAATCGGAGGAGGTTAGGTTTAGCCTGGACACTGCCTTCAACTAAAATTATAAAACTATCGGCGTTATTAACATCAAATTTAGTGA